TGAAAGTCCATTGAGTCTAGGTCTTTTTCTTTGGAAAAAGAAATTCCTCTCCCCTTAACCCCTTTTGGATTGTAGGTGCTGAGAACTAAATAATTATATTCTTTAGCTCCATAACACATTATGACCATCAATACATGCAAGATCCTTTTTTTGGTTTTGTTTTTATCCCTCATTTCTAACTTCATCCTACATCTGTTACGGGAGAAACTCGGTTCTTCTTGCTGATGCAGTAAAGAATTACAGAATAGCAAGTCTATCAGTACGTAAGGGAGGCTTCTTAGTGATACATTCTCGTGGAAAAGAACAGGCCCAGCTAAGGTTGGGGAGAAAGGCAAGAGCATGGGCAACGAAAACAAGGGCGGCAAGAGCATCGGGTCCTTTGTTCTGGGAATTTATGTAGTTGGTGAAATGAGGGTGAAGAAGTTACATATTGATTGACAGGGTATGTGACTACCCAAACTTAGGTGTGTGTGGGAGTCTGTTAGCCCAAATCGTTATCTTGCTCCAGGATTTGTGCATCTTGTTGTAAAGCAGGTATGTGACTAGAGGCAGTTAATTAAAGTTGAGGCAGTTACAAGAAGTTATTTATGGGCTCCTTCTGTAAGCCCTAGGGACTCTCTAGTAAAATAGATAGTAACTAGAGGCAGGCAATTAACCAAAGTCATTTTATGAGCTTCTTCTTTGGGCACTGTGGACCCCTTCCTCTGACCCCTTCTAGATCTTGTGATGAATACACAGTCTCAAAGGCTTTCTTTCCCAAATAGTGGAAATGATACATAGAATTTCAAGGGTCGCCCTCCTCCTGTGCTATCATGGTATTTTTCTGTGATGTTTTGAACACCTGGCAATATTGTCAGACCACATTCAGGACTGCTGAGTTGTCTCCTTCCTCCTCCCTGCCTTGGTTTACTATCTCTCCTAATACATCCTTCCCTAGTAGTTACCTACTCTAATGTATCTCCACATGTCCTTAAATATACATGTATTTTTGTAAATAGGTAATTGTTTTGTGTGTATGGGCTTTTCATTTACAAGGACACATTGTGCTGTTAATATCAACATGACATTTCAAGCCTCCATTACTTTGTATATGATTATTCAGTGCTTCTAATGTTTAACTATATTTTAGTAATCTTCTTCCCCAAAGGATGCACACCTAAACTGCTGGCAGTTTTCACACGATCACTAAACATACTGCAACTAACATATTCTTACATCATTGTTTATAGATAGGATGATCACATTGGTCCAAAATCAGGTGCTTTTGAAATTGAAGTGGAAGATGTTTATCAAGATTTTATCTATTTATTTGTTGAGAGAGAGGGAGGGAGAGAATGAGAGGAAGAGAAACAGCGATGTGTGGTTGCCTGTCGCGTGCCCCCCCTCATGGGACTTGGTTCACACCCCAGGCATGTGCCCTGACTTGGAATTGAACTGGTGACCCTTTTCCTCGCAGTGTGGCACTCAGCCCACTGAGCCATACCAGCCCGGGCTGAAGGGGAGGGAATATTTTGATTGCAGGTATATATCAAGACCCCTAGACAAACCGGGATGTGTGGTCCACCCTGTTTATGGAAGGTTGTTGTAGGACACAGCTGATAATATGCAGACATGTACTGGGATAGTCCTTCCTTCCCCTTCTGTTTCCAAGCTGACTGTTGTAGTTGGTTGGTGCATGTGCTGGACTGATTATTGCTTATTTTAAATACTACTTTTGCTAGAAACTACTCATGAGGGGAAATGTCTGGGTCACAGGTTATAGACATACTTAAAGTTTGAGTTCCAGTCCAGTTTTGTCCTATTAGTAGATGGATGGACTTTGTAATCTCTCTGTCTTCCTTGACTTTTTACATTTGTACTATATAGTTGGTTATCCTTTTTTCATCAAGCTATCTGGTTTGGGGCTGTAGCAGGTACTGCTAGTTTATTGACAACTACTCTAAGTGCAGTTACTCAGTATAGCAACTATGTAGTTTAAAAGGATTTTGTACAAATTTGTTAAGATTATTGGACCCTAACAATTACCTTTTGTAATCCTCTTGTTACAGAAAGTGAAGCTGAGGATCAGAAGAACACCGAGTAGTGTTAGTCCACATACCTGTTAAGTTACGGAGTTGAATTTGTGACCAGGTCTTCTGATTTGAACTTGCTTCTGCAAAATCTAAAAAGGACAGGGAAAAGGGTAAATTTCTGGTTGTGGTTAAAAGCAGGGACTGTCTAGTTTAGCTTTGTGTCCTTCTCAGAACATAACACAGTGCCTGACACATGGTGAAACATCAGTAGTCTTTAATGAACAAATGAACTGGGGATCATTTTTAGATTTGAATTGCTACTGCTGCTGCTACGCAGTGCTTTGGTGGCTTCTGTTTATTACAACAGTGCTTTGAACTATAAGTGAGTTTTGTTCTATAAATGTTCTGGCTGAAGAAAGGGATTTCACATCAGTTCAGGGGTTCTCATGTTAAGTGGTGTGATTCATTTACAACTGAAGTAGCAGTAGGTTGTAAACATGCCTGGGTAGTGTGATTTCTGTAGGGAGTGGACTGCACTTGCTTGTTTGGAGAAAAAATTGAGTAAGATTTCTTCTACACTTCTTTTTTAGACACTGTTCGTAGGTTTAAAGACCCGGTAGTAAAGCCCCTCCTGTTTCTTACCATTGTACTATTATTGCATTCGCCTGCTTATTAACACATGCTTCCTACCCAAGACTTCCAGAGGCAGCTGTAGTGTTTGGTGAGGATGCTGGATTCCATTGAAAGATTTTCTTCAGATAATTTGTTCCCATATTGAGAGAAGCTGCTGGTTGGCCTCAACCACCTTCCTCAAACCTGTCATTGTTTGGAGGTCATTTCAAAGCCTTTCATAAGGTAGGCTCCACCTACCTTTCCATCTTATCTCAAATAACTACCAACATCCCCTTTTTAGTACTTGCCACACACTAATACAAGTTCAGAGTGTTCTAAAAGAAACCATTTAGTAACTTAAATTTTTCATGCCCCATACTTCCAGGTAGTTGAAATAGTCATCTTCCAGAAGTAGTTCTATCATGTATCTTAAATCCTTTTCATTCTCTAGCTGCAGATATTCTCTGCACAGCTTATGCTGTTTAAATTAAATATTTCCTGCTGCTTCTTTCTTCAGCCACATGTTTCCTTAAATCACAGATTAATTTTTAGTGCTTATAGTAATACTATGCACTGTACATGTAAGCTCTCATCCCACCAATGAGTAAAAGTTTTAGAAAGCCCACACATATCTCTTTAAGTACCTGCTTTTTATTGAAACCAGTAGTAAACTAATGACTCTTCCTCCCAATTATGCTACCACAGTTTTGTTTTTTAATTGTTTCCAGTCTCCTTTCCCTTTGCACCCTGGCTCTGAATTCTATAGTACCTAACATAAAGAAAACCCAAGGGAAGTTCCTTTTTTTTTTTTTCCTTTTCTTTGTAATGCATAAATAAAGTACCTTTATAACAATGGTTTTAGTAAACTGAAATCCTTCCCACAACTAAGTGATTGGTCCATGAAAACAGTGTTTTGGTAGTCAGTTTTCTTTCTGTTTTTTAAAATTTTATTTTGGTGAGTTAAAAACACTTATTTATCTTGCTCTCTTAACAGATTTTTAAGGGTACAATACACTGTTCTTATGTGTGGGCACAATGTTGTACTTCAGATTTCTAGAACTTAACTGATCTTGTGTAACTGAAATTTTATGTAGTCATTTAAAGTAGTCAGTTCTGGAAGCAAAGAAGAGATGGTAGTTGCTGGGGTGGGGAAGGAGAAACAAGGAGCTGCTAGTCATGAGTAATCAGTTTTCTCCTGCAAATACAACTTCACAGTCACTCTACCCAAGTATGTGATTGTTTGTACTTGAGGTAGAAAAGGAAAGAAGAGTGAATTTGGCAATTTACTTCTATCGCGAAGCATCAGTCACCATATACTTCAGACCATAAGATGCACCTAGGTTTTAGAGGAGGAAAATAGGAAAAAAAATTTTTGAAGCTAAAAATGTGGTAAAAATTTAATAACATAAATAACATAATATTTCACCAGTGTAAATGTAAACAACTCAACAGCAGCATTAACAACCATTATTCCTTCCAAATTTGGGGGGGCGTGCATCTTGTAGCCCCAAAATATGGTACCTTTCTGTTTCCCAGGTTTTCTGCCAATGCTTACACTACTGCTGCCTAACTCAAAATAGAAAAAAATAAATGGGACTCCCAAGACCATTTCTTCTGAAACACCACCATACACAAACTCTCAAAAGTTTGGAGAAGTATGGAAGGAAAAGTTTGGTTAGGTACCTCTCTCCCACTACATTAGGAGTAGTTTTTTTGCTAATTAGTTAAAAGCATAGCTTCTTCTCATGAGCACAGCTAACCTTGTTACCTTAATAACAGGAAAGTCAAGAACTGGGTCCACTGAACTCCATCAGTAGATCAGAATCAAACGTGGATGGAAGCACATCTTAACAAGAATCACCATCACTTCACTCACATAGATCTTTTTTATATTTGACAAACCATGTTGATCACCATGTTTGTGTTTTTAGTTCTACCTGATTGGAGTGGGCAGCTCTAGGTACTCTTGACCTCTGTTGGTGATACTATTTGCTGACTTTGCCCATGAGTATTCACCAGCTACATAATATTCTGACTGATCAACCTCCCCACTCCACTAGGCCTTTCACTTTCTTTCTCGTCTTCTTCTTTATTTTTTATTTTATGTTTTAAAAACATTTTATTTATTTTTAGACAGGTGGGAAGGGAGGAAGAAAGAGAGAAACATCAACGTGTGGTTGCCTCTCACACATCCCTACTGGGGACCTGGTCCACAACCCAGGCATGTGCCCTGACTGGGAATCAAACCAGCGACCTTTTGGTTTGCAGGGTGATGCTCAATCCACTGAGCCACACCAGCCAGGGCTCTCTTCTTCCTTAATCCCTTTGTTTTCATTCACCTCTATTGCCTTCACAACTCCTCCATGATTTTCTTAGGGCTGGGCTTCAACATCGTCGGTGGGACGGATCAGCAGCACTTCTCCAACGACAGTGGCATCTTCGTCAGCAGCATCAAAGAGAATGGGGCTGCGGCCCTGGATGGGCGGCTCCAGGAAGGTGATAAGATCCTCTCGGTGAGAATGGCCTGCGGCTTCCTTCTCTGTCCCTGGCTCCCTACACACCACTTCCTACTCCTGGGGAAGATTCCCGCCTGTCTTTTTGGATCAGGAAATGTCCCAATTGAGGGGTCAGCGGGAGGGGCCTTGATCAGTCATCTTTCTCAGCCCTACCATAGAATGTGGAGTGTATTACCTTGCTTGATAGACAAGGCAAAAGTAAGTCCAAAGTGTGAGGTCACTTACCCAAGTTCAAAGAACATAAAACGGGAAGGGCCGAGGGACTGGTGGGTGGGGTAGGCACTTAAAATTCACAAATTTTGTTGTTTTTCTGTTATACTTTATCACTTCCTTTTTTGTAGATTTAAACATTAATATATCTTCCTTTATGCCAAAGCTGCTAGAAAGGAAGTAGGAATTAAGTGTTCTTTTTACACTCAGATCCCTTTTCTCCCATTATTAAGACAAAACATTGGAATGCAACCTGATTTGGATATCTGTCCACTGTGCTTCCATTTCACTCTGCTAATGTCTCTAGTAATACTATATGGTAACCATTAATTCCATTTTCTGGAAGTTTCTCAATTCAGGGACCAGAGCTCTTTTTAACCTTTTACATTCTAGCACATTGTTCAATATGTATTTAACACATGAAACAAGTTAGTAAATTTAGGCAAATCCAGCAAGGCTGGCTGATCAGAATATAAAGTATCATGAATGGTAATATTCCATTTTAGTCCTTTTCACTGACCATTTTGCCTCTCTTCAGTTCATTAAGCTTCTAGACCCTATTTATTAATCTGTTGAGATAGAGACAGTAATAATCTACCTTTTTTTTTCTTAAACATTTAAAAAAAAGAAATCCTCTCCAGGGCCCTGGCCAAGGAGCAGCAGTTGAGTGGGCCTCGTCCTGCAATGTGGAAGTTGATCCTCAGTCCGGGCTTGTGCCTGGCTTGTGGATTTGCTGCCCAGTTAGGGCATGTGAGCGGCAGTCAAGCAGCTTTTCTCTCTCATATCAGTGTTTCTCTCCCTCTTTTCCCTCCTCCCTTCCCCTCTCTTTGTAATCAATAAAATAAATTTTTTTTTCTAAATCTTCACCAGAGGATATGTTTATTGATTTTAGAGAGAGAGAGAGAGAGAGAGAGAGAGAGAGAGAGAAAACATTGATGTGAGAGAGAAACTTTGATTGGTTGCCTTCCATATGTACCCCTACTGGGATCAAACCTACAGCCCAGGTATGTGCCCTGACTGGGCATCGAACCTGCAACCTTTTGGTTTATGGGATGGTGCTGCAACTATCTGAATCACCCAGCCAGGGCTGATTATCTTTTATCTCAAAGAATAGATGAGAAGTTAAGAAGTAGGTTATTTCCCATAGCTCAAAGGAGAAAGACTTTCTAAAACATGAAATCAACTTAAGTGGTACATTAAGGAAAACTTGAGAGTGGGTTGAAATAAAGGTATAGCATGCAGTTAGAAACTGTTCAGTCCAATATTTTAACACAAGAAGGACACGAAAAGTATAGGGGTTAAGAAGAGAGCCATCTTAATTTAAAAGCTTTGGTTAAAGGTAAATTATTGAAGAATGAGGACGATTAGAAGTTTTTGAGGACTATATGTTAAGCAATATGCTGAGAACTTTAAACTTATTTAGTATTGTAGTAACCCTATGAGATGTGTACAATTATTATGCCTGATTTGTAGCTAAGAAAGCTGAAACTTGGTAAGGTCAAGCAGCTTGCCCAGGGTCACACAAGTAGTAAGTGGCAGAGGACTAAAGTTTTGGTCTGTCTGAATTTGGAACCTGTACTCTTAACTAGTGTATTGTACTGCCTCCTAAAAGGTAAACGAAAAGCTAGGATTAGTTATCCTACACAGAAAGTTGCATGGTGAATTAATAGCAAATTTTATGTGTGGTTTTATATAAAAACAAATTAGTCTTTTTATAAAGGGTAGAATTAAACAAGGGGGAAAAAAGGACATAGACCTCAGTGTGAGAGAACTTACTAGACATGCACTGAGATGAAGCCTTTTTTATATGGGCCATCGATTGCCTCAGAAAGAAAGAAATGATTGGCAGGCCATTCATGTTTTTATTATAAAAAGGGTAGGAGGTAAATGTCAATGAAGAGAAAAATAGATGTCTAAATAACTCAGCCGGTTTGAAAATTTATAGGAAAGAGGATTTCACTTTATCAAAATATAAGAAATATTACAAAGATCTATGTAAGATAGTAAATATTACAAATACATATTAAACACTATAAAGAATGATTGAAGTTTATGTTCTGTTCAGTTAAGGAAAAGGAATATGAAAGAAGACAGGGGAAGTGCAAGCAGATATGGAGAGAGATAAAGAAGACAGAGGAAAAGATGGAGCATATATATATAGGTGGAAAAGGGCAGCATATCCTCTCCATTCTATCTAGGTTTATATCCTTTGACTCAAATATCCCTGCCCAGAGTTTGCTCTAAAATTCTTCTTTCTACATCCCATTCCTTAAGAAACAGCGACTCTGTTGTCTCACCATCTTGTTCCTTCTCTGTCCTAAAGTGAATTATTAGCCATTAACCATTAAACGGTTACATCTGTGCATTAGCTCACTTTACCTCTTTGATATACTGAAGTACTCATTTATGATTGGCTTTGGGGTCTCTCTAAAATGATGTTAAATTATTTATTAGCCCATTATCCCATTTATTCTCTACAGGCTAGTCTGTTCTCACACAGGCCCATGTTGTAAAAACTCTTAACTTTTGCTAGATGATCAAACGGAATATGCCCCTTCCTTCGTGCATGTCTTGGATAAGCCCAAGAAGTATCATTAAGTGATCCAGGTTTCTTGTCGGTTATTGACTATTAATGTAACTTTGCATTTCTCCCTAAGTAGCCATATTTTGTCTGAATTTCAAGTTCTAAAAGTAAATAACTGCACATTTGTTATGCAGTTTTCCGTTTCTCATCAAAAGTGAAGTTTAATTTTCACTGTGGATGGTTTAAACACAAAAGAGAGAAAGGTCTTTCACGACTGTAAATGATGCGTGAGGCCCTGTCAGGTCTGGCAGCCACGATACAGAAACGAGAACCCCCGGGGGACGAGCAGGCCTGCAGTTGAGAGGGGCTGGAGGTTCTTCACCCAAAGTTCATTCTTTGTATGTGATGGTAAGGGTGGCTTCATATTAGTATAGGTTATTAGAAGATCTGGGGAAGTTTTCTTTTTGTGAAAAATAAATTAGTAAACTGTCTAGGTTTCTCATTTCCCCCTTGCATCTGCCCAGGAGGGGAGGTGGGTAGTTGAGAGTAATCAGTCCTCAGTGAACTAGACATTTTTATGAAGCGCTGGATGATATAGCTGTTATATTGTACAGGTGAATGTTTCATTTTGACCAAACCCTTTATGTAACAAAAATGGCACAGATTGGGCCATTAGTCAGCTGCATTTCATATTCTCTTCAAGTACAGTGGTTAATTTGATGAATGAAAGAGTTGAGTAGTCATCAACATTTATCAACTATTGTTACCTGATGGCCTGTAGAGTGCTGTGACAGGTTCTATGGAGAATTAAAAGAAGATAAAAGACTTGTTTCTGCTCTTAGCTTAGAATTCAATAGGAAAGACCCCCAGACATCCTCGTTATGTAATCAGCTGCTCAGTCATTGGAATAGACAGAGCCCTTCAGACAAAAGCACCTCTAGGGCAGAGTCTTTGTCTTCTCATCTCTGTGTCCCTAGCACTAGGCCTGTAGCTGGCACACAGTAAGCATTTGCTAAATTAGTTGCTCTGTGAAGGAATTATAGTATAACCGACTTTTTTGGTTGAGCCTAATTCATTGGAACTGGGTAATTTTTTTCTTCAACTTTCATGAAAAAAGAGATACCCCCTCCCCCAAAATGCAGCTCATTTCAAAATCTTGATAAAACATTAAAATATCCAGAGTATAATCTGAGGTCAGTGCTTATTAAATTGAGCCCATTTTTCTCTACATCTTAAACATCTACATTTATATTGTTCTATAGAGTTCCTGAAACTAACATTATCCTGAAATAATGTTAGATTATCCTGAGGCATTTCAGAATCATTAATCATCAAAGGAGACTAATTTTAACTCAGTTTACTCATTTCCTAAGGCACTTTTAAAGACTGCTAACAACCATACTTAAAGCAAAAAATCATATGTTTTCCTATCAGAACACATGTGCCCTGACTGGGAATCGAACAGGTGACCCTTTGGTTCGCATTCTGGCACTCAGTACACTGTGCCACACCAGCCAGGGCTCAAGCCTTTTAAATTATGACCTGTAATAAGAAATATACATGTGTAAGCATGTGCATACACAAATAAACACATGACTGAAGCAAAGTTTAACAAAATAATACTTATTTCTTCTGTGTGTGATGCTTTCTGATATGCTGTGTTTTCTTCTACTTTCACTTTTTAAAAATTAAATATTGGTCTTGACCCACTGGATTGCCTTCACTGTCTTCTGTAATGGGTCAGAAAACACATATTTTAAAAAATCATTATTCCAGTAGATGGAAAGTCGCTGATGAAATCGGTGGATTCATGGAGCGTGTATTAAATAGGGTGGGTAGACCAGGTATGGAAACCATACCCATTTAGAAGACTATTTCAGGCATTTTAGGTTAGAGCTAACTCAAACTTCAGAATCACCTGGAGGACTTGTTAAAGCATAGAACACTAGAGTAGGGTCTGATAGTTGTCACTTTTAACAATTTCCCAGGTTAATGCTAATGCTGCAGGTTGTGGGACCACCCAGAGACCCTCTGGTCTATATTAGTAAAGATGGTGGTAAAGGAAGGGGATGTGACATATATTTGGGGTAAAGCCTATAGAACTTGGTAGTTAATATGAGCTGGAATCTGTAAAAACACTTAAAGGAGATAAATATTAGAAAGCAAATATTAATGGAGTAGAGATGACATTGTCAAGAGAGAAAGAATAATAATTTGTTTTCTGGGGCAGGTTTATCTTGGGCAAAGGATGGGAAATGGTTCT